TCAAATTCAAAGCTCCGATTCAACCTCTCTTCTCCAATACCACCATTAATCGAAGACCCAATTGCGTTTCTAGAAGGAACCCTCTGAAACGCTTCAATCTCACTGTAGCTAAGGCCGAGGGAAGCATCGATTCCGCCTCTGCAACCAAACACTCTTCTTCAACCTCCTCTACTGCCCCATCTCCTCCCTTCAACAATCAGGACACTGTTTTCGTGGGTCAAAAGGGTGTTCCTTTAGAGGGTGTTATCCAGTTCGAGAAACCTGCTTTATCTTCTCCTTGGAATAAATGGGGGTAAGCTCAAACAACTATTCCTTTGCATTTCCTTCTAATTCTTCTGGTTTTTCTCTGAATGATGATTGTGTTGGATTTTTGTGTGTATCAGTCGAATTGCCCTGCTTTCTGGCGGGGATGTTTTGGCTTTGCTTTTGTTCTCTGCAATTGGAAGATTCAATCATGGCCTCCCTCTCTATGACTTGGACACTCTACGGACAGCTGACCCTTTTATAGCTGGTACGTGAAATTGTTGATAATCTGGATTCTGGATTGAGTTTGAGTAAAAAAAAAAAACCCCTTTAGTTTTTATCTCGTTTTCTTGTGTAAAATTGGAAGTGTGGATTTATAGGATGGTTCATGAGTGCATACTTTGTTGGTGGTTATGCTGAGGATGGCAGAGGGATGAACGGTTTTTCGAAGGCTGTTCTTGCTGCTGCTAAATCGTGGGGGCTAGGAATTCCGGTAATTTCAACTTCATTTCCTGTTGATAATTCTACTTTTGCAATTTTTAGCTTTCACATTGCTTTGCTCTTGAGGTCTTTCTAAATGGATGGCTGGGTGAGTAGCTAAGGTGTTGTCCTCTTTACTGTAGAAGCAATGGCTGCAATGGAAAACCAATTGATCTAGAACAGTACGCTTTTGCATCAGTTGAGTTGTCAATAACCACAGTTTTAGGTCTTTCTATCCTAAGGACTGACTAGCGTATTTAGCATAGAAGATTGTGATTAAGGGCTTTGTGTACTCTGAAATTTACTTTTACTCATTATCTTGCAATTATTTCCATTCAACTAAACTCAACTTTTAACATTTCTTAAGTGACTTAGGAGGGTTG